ATATGTATTATCCCCTTTGAGACAGAGGTGAGGTATGTATCCACGAAGGCCTGTTATCGCAGATGTTCGGGACGCGGAGATCTCGGATACATTTAAATGGCCTGCAGGTGTTAAATCCGACACATGTGTTTTTGTATGTCTTCAGATAGGCCATGTTAGAGTCAAATGTCTCTTAAATAAATAACAAAAAGGCACAATACCGTGACTGGAACAATACACAAATAACCCGCACATAAAAGAGAGAAGCTTACGACGACGTTTCGGTCAGACTTGGACCATTGACAAAGTCACAAAGTGACTTTGTCAATGGTCCAAGTCGGACCGAAACGTCGTCGTAAGCTTCTCTCTTTTATGTGCGGATTATTTGTGTCAAATGTCCTCTTGTTTCACACAAAGTCACAAAGTTAAAGCAGGAAGAATTTTTCTTTAAATTAATTGTAATTACTATTATTATTACGAGTAATTATTATTAATATTACGAGTAATTATTATTAATATTACGAGAAATTATTATTAATATTACTAGTAATTATTATTAATATTACGAGAAATTATTAATATTACGATTAATTATTATTAATATTACTTAGTAATTATTATTAATATTACGAGTAATTATTATTAATATTACGAGTATTTATTATTAATATTTACATCATCATTATCACAATTATTACAATTACTATAATCACATTCGCTACAGTCGCAATAAACACAATCACTGCAATCATTACCATAATCACCCTCAACCTTGTCACTCTCATCATTATCGCTACCACACTAATCACAATCACCACAGTCACGATCACCATAATCACAGTCACCACAGTCACAGCTGCCATCCTCATAATCACCACAATCACAAGCGCGATCATCACAAATACCATCATTATCAACAATTTTACTGTCATATTCATCCACTGAAAATAGAAAGACTGCCCACGTATTTATTTTTATTATCATTATAACTATATATTTAGGGACAAGCATTAAACCCGGAAGAATCACATGGGAAAGGTAGGCAACCAGGTTTGATCTAAAGAATTCCCAGTGTTTGAGTTTCCGTCACCACCCTCAAGAAGGGGGTGCCAGCGTACGGGTCTTCCCCCGAGAGAAAAGTAAAAATATTCCCGCCAGAATCTATTCGAAGTTTAAAATTAAAAAGGGAAGTTTTTTGAAATCTGATGATTTTGGGGTATCGATCTGGCCATCACAGGGGACGGACGCGGAGGTGACTGGGGCCTTTGGGGGGTGGGGGGTCCCTTTTTTCCTTGTATGATTTTTCCCTTTAAGGGGATTTTGGGAACAAAAGGGAACAAAAGAAAAAAGGGAAAAACACTGCAACGGGCCCCTACCATAAAATTTTTTGAAAGCTCTTATCAAAAGGAAATGCAGTTTCCCCTTTTCCTTGCAGGGGATCAAACCTTATTATTTTCCTTTCCCCATAAAAACGAAAGACCCAACAGAAAGTGTTTCCCCAATTTTGGGATAAATATGACCAAAAAGCCACAATGGAAACATTTTCGAGATTTTTCCCGCTCTGTTACCACCGGTGCTTCGTAAAGGGGTTATACAATAAAAATTGAAAAAATTATTTAATCTATTATTTTTTTTAATGTTATCTAATCTATTAAAATTTCTATTATCATAATCTTTTAAATTAAAATCTGCTACGAAATTTAAATTTTATTATTAAAACCAAAATTTTTTTTATTATAAATCCCCTATTGTTAAAATCTATTTCTTGTACCCCCCTTTAGGGGGCCCATACAGGAAATAGATTTTAAAAATGGAAAAATTTTTTCTAGGGGTTATATGTTGTGGTGGCACTGTGGGGGCCCTTTTGGGGCACTGTGGTGGACTGGGGGGGCACTGGGGGCACTTTTGGGTGACCTGGGGTTTACCCACTTGGTGGCACTGTGGGGGCACTGTGGTAGCACAAATGGTGGCATGGGGTGGCACTGTGGGGAAACTGTGGGGGCCCACTGTGGTGCCCACGGGTGGTGGCACAGGGGGCATGAAAAAAAGGCCTTGAGCTAATTTGCCCCCCCATAAGGGTTTTTGGCTTTCCCATTATTTGTGTTTTATTTCTAAATGCATTGGTTAGTTTTTTTTAAAAAAAACCCCTTGGCAATCAGTGTTTTGGGTGTTTACTAAATTTTTTGGTCTGCTATTGTTTACATGAAAATTTTTTTTTTCCTTGATTGTGCTTTTTTTTTCCCAATTCAAATTTTTGTTGATGCATTGGGATTTCTTTTTCTTTATACAGTTTTAGTGTCCCTTTTTTTAAAAACTTTGTTTCACAAAATTTTTCTCCTTTTTCCAAAGTTTCTTCCCTTTCACGAAAAAATTTTTTTTCCCTTTTTTTCTAGTTTTTTCCTCCAAAATTTTAAAGGGCCCCCCTTTTTTTCGTTTCCTGTGTTCGGGGACTTGGTTCCCCTTTTTTTTCTTTTTTTTCCATTTTTTTTTAATTTTTTCCATTCATATTTTTTTTTTCTAGGGGAATTTTACGTGTTTTTTTTTTAAATGTTGCCCAATTTTCTTTATCTCTTTCTGTTCTCTTTCGTTTTTTTTTTTGGGTTTTCCGTTTCTGCCCTTCTTTTAAATTCGGGAAAATTTTTAAAAAGTGTTTTGGGTTAAACATCCTTGCATTTAGTTTTACAATTAATAAAAAAATTAAAAATTAAAATAAAAAAAAAATAATTTAATAAAAAAAAAT